GCGGCGGCACCGCCCAGACAAGGTTCCGCGCGGCGGGTTCCGGCGGGACTCTGTCAGGCCGCCTGCGAGTGTCCAGCGGCGCTCCTGGCGGCCCGCGGGATCCAGGCGGCATCTGGCGGAAGGCCGAGGAGTTCTGGCAATTGGATTGCCACTGGGATGAGCTCGGCGGGAGTCCCACCCGACCAGTCAGCTGCACCGCTTTCAGCGAGCTCGTTCATTCCATGTCACTGGAGAGGAGTTCATGCCCCGCGATTGGCTTCGCTTTATCCTCCTCTTCTCAGGAGGGGAAAAAACACACAGACACAATTATTCGTCGACCCCTAGAAAAATAAGGGAAATATGGGAAGTGGGGGGGGGGGGAAGACAAAATCCCAGAACGTATGGGGAACTATTGGGAAGCTTGTTATTTGTGTGCATTTATTTGTGTGTCCCAGGGCCCCTTCATCTTCCTCGTGCCACTTGTCGTCATGGTCTCTTGGCATGCCTCTCCTGCCCGCTCTCGTTTTGCGCGTCGGGGCAGCTCTGTAATGCGACGATGGCGCGGCACGCTTGCGACGCGCTAGCTGGTTCTCGAGCGTCTGGTCTTCTCATCCTCATCCTGAGTTTTGTCATCGTCCTCGTCGTCGTCGTCGTCCTCCTCCTCCTCCACCTCCTCCTCCTCCTCCTCCTGACCACCACCATTTCTCCTTCGCCTCGTCGTCGTCGTCGCCCTCGTCCTCATCGTCGTCCGCCTCTTCGTGATCGCCATGCTTCATCCTCCTTGTCGTCGTCCTCTTTCTCGTGATCGACATCCTTCCTCCCGCGCCTCCTCGCTTGGTGCCCGCCGAGGACTCGGAGGGGCTTGCCCGCGAAGAGGAGCCCGGTCGTCTCCTCTTCCTCTCCCGCCTGCTTGGTCGCGGATGCCCACGCGAGGCGGATTTGAACCCAGTTGCCCCTGGAGGTCCTCCCCTTTCTCCTCCCTCGCTCCCCAGACATGCCCTCGACGTGAAGGACCACCCTCTATATTTCTGTGTGTTCGGCATCCAGGGGCCCTCGCTGGGCCCCAGGACAGTGAGGAAACGACTCTGGACGAAAAGCCGGCCCTGCGGACCTAGTCGGAACTTCCGGGGACCCCCGTTCCAACAACCAAGACATCGGAGGCTTGCGGATCGAGCTGCCGCCAGGGGTTTTCGTTTTGTCATCCTTCGCTCCGCTCTTAGCGGAGGACGAGGTACGGATAGAGGAGGAGGAGGAGGAGGAGGAGGAGGAGGAGGAGGAGGAGGAGGAGGAGGAGGAGGGGAGGGGACGAGGAGGACGAGGAGCAGGAGGAGGGGACGAGGAGGAGGAGAGGAGGAGGAGCAGGAGGAGGAGGAGGAGGAGGAGGAAAGAGGAGGAGGAGGAAGAGGAGGAGGAGGAGGAGGGGGATTAGGAGGAGGAGGAGGAGGAGGACGAAGAGGAGGAGGACGAGGAGGAGGACGAGGACGGGGACGAGGACGAGGACGAGGAGGAGGAGGAGGAGGAGCAGGAGGACGAGGACGAGCTTCTCTCGTCCTTCCCTCGCTCTCTCCTTTTCGGGCTCCCGTGGGTACCCTGGACGCGGAGCTCCGCCTCCTTCTCCGACCCCCATCTGCGCTCCTTTGTCCGTCCCGCCCGCCCCGGGAACGGGGACGGGCGGGAAGGGGAGGCGGGGGGCGCACGTGACACGCAGCGGGGGTCAGCGCTGGCGGGGATCCGCCAGGCTCCCCCGGCGCGGAGCCGAACCCCTGTTAGGATGGCACAGGAGTGGGATCTGCTGGGCGTCCGGCGAGGGAGCGCGCCCCCGAGCACACGTCTTATCGCAGCCCGCTT